TATTTTGTGTGTACCTAGAACCTAGTGAAAAGTAACTCACTGAGCAAAGTGAGGCTTAGTGGTTCTGCAATACAAGAACTTCTGAATGCTAAAACATCCCTGTACACTGGTGTCTGGGTACAAAAAAAGAGAATTTTACTGATGGTAATTTTATGTATGTTAGATTAAATGGAGAGTCCTTGATACCAAGTCAGAAAGAACATCTGCCAGGCTCACTGATGGTCATAGGTTAGAGAGGCTTCTCTGATTCAAGAGATAGGCTCAGACTGTGCAAAGATGAGGGGATTATGCACAGGTAAAAAGTGTAGAGCAATATATCTTGAATCTGTTCAAGTGACAGAGATGATTCTGAGATTTTAAAACATGTTTGTGCTAATTTTCTACTAGGCCAAATGTAGTTTATAATTTTGCCCGAGAGTGTGATTTCATACTCCATCCCACCCCCAAGATGCCAGGAAAGTCTGTGTTCAGGAAGAATTACTAATGCCCAGTGGAGCTGTAGTCACAGGACAAGAGCTAAGAGGGTAATTGTCAACTGTTTACATGTGTTTGGTGCCACAGCAAGTTTTGGTGAATATTTTAAGAATCAGCTTGTGAAGTGGTTTTATCTTTACACTAGAGATGGCCTTTTAAACTGTATTGAGTCTTCTAGCTAATTTTCTATGTGTTAAATATAGTACTGCTTCTGCAAAGACAAATGATGGTGTCGCACACTTCTATTTAAACTTAGCTTGAATGTTTTATAAAGTGTTTCAGGGACGGTGAAGCAATCTATCCTCAAGTGAAGTCAGCTTCAGGTGTCTTAAACTCCAAACTGCATTTGCTTCATGGCAAATCATAGCAGCAGAAGAACTTTTAGGTAGAACTGAAGTTTGTAGTTTGAATCCTTTAAGTTGTCTACATGCATAAGCAGAAAATCCAGGCTCCTTGACCAGTTTAGCTGGAGTTAATCTATCAGTATTGTGGGGGATAAGGAAGGAGGAGGAGAGATCAGTTGTACACATGGACAAACTGGAAGGCATGACTTGTACACTTCAGTGCAGTCTCAGTTATCTTGAGCAATCCTATTGGTCCCTTTACACCTGCCTGGCATGTGCTACTGGGGCTGACTGGAAATTCTTCCAGCTGCAGCACAACAGGAAGATCACATTCTGTGATCTGGCACAAAGGAGGCTTCTTTTTGTCATGGAAGCAACAGCTCCAGAACTGCTAATGATCATCATTGAAACATAAGCCTTATAATAATGTAATATGAAATTGATTATGTACCCTGTCTGGCCTGGGTTTGGTCTTCTTAAGACTGCAGAAATCCTGCCCTGTGAAGGAATATGAGTTGCCGACTTGAAAATCACAGTAAAGTATCTGCCATGACTTGTTTTCTTAGAAGATAGTGATAGAGTGCTCTCTAGATACAAGCTGTCTTTCATATATGGGAGGGAGAGCTGATGCTTTGAGGAGTTCACATCTAAAAACAAAAGTCCAGAGAAAAAACTCTGAATCCCTCCTGTGTGGTGTGTGTTTCGTGCACACGCACACGAAATTAATAATCCCTAACCCTCATATTGTTGAGCAGTTCTCTGAAATGTGAAAAAATATCAGGTTCACAATTGCCTGTGCACAGCATTTAGTCCTTTTTTTTTTCTGTGTACCGAACAAGACCAAGATCCTTTTGGCAAAAAGATACATAATTAAATATTGTAACATGATATGAATGGATAGAGTTCCATGGTCTGACAGTAAACATTTGCTAGTTTCTAGAGTTAGAAAAAATGTAAAGAAGAAATTGCTGAACATGACGTTTAATTTTTTCCAGTTTTTCCAAGTGAGTCTCTGGTTACAGTAGTATAAACTTGATTGTATAACTTGAAGGTAGTAATAAGTATATAATTGTTATAATCAGACATCTTAATATACAGGTAATTAGCATTTAAACAGTCTTAAGCCTTCAGGTGCAGTATGCTTAAATGTTTTCACCACCATTTGTTTTCTGTTGTCCTCAGGTGCTACCAAGCCTTAAACATAGGAGTTTTGAGATCTTCGTTTTCATAATGGTCCCATTAAATGAGTAACTTTTTTAATCATAGATCATAGATATATTTTGGGAAGAAGGTAGTGCTCTTAATTTGACTCCCAGACCTGGGGTTTAAAAACCCCCAGAATATTACAGAATATACTGTAACAATTTGAGAGTTAACCTTGTAGGCTCCTACCTTGGACAATTTACAGCATGTTTCTAGAGCCTTCAAAAGGCTACCTCAGTAAATTAGGTTGCTGAGATTTTGTGATAAGTTTCTGCTGAAGTTTTTGTTACAAATCCCTGTATAATGCTAAACTCTTCAGACTTCTCTATTGATATGAATGATTGTGAGCTGTCTAATCTTAACTTTCTAATGTGTTTTGTAATGAGCATGAGAGAGGCAGTGTAAGTTTCTAGATGTACTTTTGCCATGAAGAAGAAATAATCTCATTTCATTTATAGAGCAGACTTTATCCCTTTTTCATTAATACTGTTCTGTGTTGGTTCCCAGTATCCATAAGTACAGGGAGTTGTCAAGAACCAAATTTACAGATATTGTTGGTAATATGCTGTTCTCTACTATAAAAATGCTAAGAACAGTTGAAAACTTATATCTGTTTAAGATGCTTGGGATTACCAATCTTGGGTATTTGTTCTTAATTTCTCTTTCTCAATTCTCTGTTTAAGAAAACTTGCCTGTATCAGGCACAAATTTTTCTGTGGCTCTCATTAGTGCGCTGCTTATGAAGAAACCAATTTTTTATTTGTCTTAGGGCTTAGATGTTGAGCTTAAAAAGCCACGCAAATCAAAAGTTCAGAATTACAAGAAATTCAATTGATACTTCATTCTTTGTGCTTGTCCTCTCTACTAAATGAGGCAGGGATGTTCGTAAAAATAGTATACCTGCATGAGGGCAGAATTTTGTGTTGCCAGAGGTTTGACATTCAAAGGTTAACCTGTTCTAAACACTAAAGAAAAAGCCTGCAGTAAATTATCTACAGAAGAGGATGCAAATGTATTTCCATTCCCTATATGGGTCCTCTCTAAGTGACTTCTCCAAGGCAACACAGTGGTTCACTTGGATAGTCACGATTAAACTCCTTGTGTTCTAAACTTTGTCCTTGGGAGCTCCTGGCTTCTGAGTCTGGGGTTGTAGCAAGATTAAATGCAATCTGAAGGTTTGTAACTGTGCAGTTTTTTTCTGCACAGTTCCATCTTGATGGAGCTAGGGTCCTGCTATGGAGGCGAGTCTCTACGTAGGGGGAAAATAGGAAGGAAGGAACAGTTGCTGTTATTTTTAAGTGACAGCTTTCTTGTCAGGTTGTGTGTACATGTGTTACAAGTAAATGGATGTTTTTCTTTTTTAAAGTAAAAATCATGCTTATTTTTTCTAAGACTGTGTTTGCAGATGTGTAATACTGACTGTTTTGTTTAGCTTTCCAAAAGCAGTAATCTACAGCAGTGAGATGTTTTTTAATTATTGTTTTTTATTAATAAGCATGGACAGATAGTTGTAGTTGCTTGTTGAAGAGGGCACTTAGTACTTGCATGATGAAAGGGCTTCCTCTGTAGGTCTCTGGACCAATTCAGTGACTGATTGATAGTGGGAGGTGGAGGTGACAAGTAGGATTTTAATACCAAAAAGAAACTACAGTTTGAGAATAATACCTGTCTCTTCAGCATCCTCAAAAATGACAGTGTTTAAAACTCTGTAACATCCAGAGCCAATTTACTTACTTTGAATACAACCTCAAAACAGTCCATACTTCCCAGCTCATAACCTGTCATGGTAGCAGCCGGATGTTATGGAAACTTACCTGAAATTGCTCTAAAATTAAACATCGCCTGTAATATTCTGTGGTTCAAAATGCACAGTGAAATTTGAGACTAGGAGACTGACAATACTGCCAGCAGGCTTTCTCTTTTCAGTGGTCATCAGCACCCAGTTCTGCTGGATAGTAAATGGAAACTCTCCACTTGTGCTGGTCTTCAATGAGAGAGAGATGATCGTGACTTTCTCCTGCTGTATCTGTTTATAAGGCTGGGGCTTAAACTTCAGCTCTGTGATGACTTATGTGTGGATAGAAACATCTGCAAAGATCTTGTTAGCTGTGAAGTTAAAGCTTCAAATACGCTAATATTATAGTATTTTACTAGAAAATTGGGAGTATTTTGGAGCCTTTTTTTAGCATCAGGCAAAGTAATTGAGCAAATGAGTTATCATTTATATTCTAACTATCTTTTTAGAACTCTGACTCATGAGTTTTTTATGATTCATGTGGTGATTTCAGAGGTATTACCTTGCTGTGCTACAGAATGTTCTACCCATGACCCAGGCAGTGTAACAGGCAGTGCCTCTTCTTGACCTCCACCTTTTGTGTCCCACCGTATTGGCTTACTCTGCTGTTTGTTTCAGTCCCTAGCAGTACTCTGGGATTTGAGCTCTGGTGGCTGAGCTGACCTACCACCTGCTCTACCATCTTTGGGGGCTGGTGTTACCTCTAGCAGAGATGATGGGCAAATGTCATGGGTGGGTAACCTCGTTGTATTTAGCTGTGGCAACTGAGAAGGCTTATGATATAGATCTTAATAGATGTAATGGAGAGCAGGTCTCTCCACTATGGGAGGGGGACAGTGACCTTGCACAGAACTAGAAAGACTTGTACCTCTAGTTGCTTCTCCCCCTAGTGACAGTAATAGTTTGTATTTTAATCCAGATTGAAATTGTAGGTCTCCTTAGTTTTCCCTGCACTTCGAACAGATTTTCTTTCAAAGTGGTGTTTTATAGTTAGCTTCAGCATTAAAAAAAAAATAAAATTACAACTCCCCTGAAGAAAAAACAACCAAAAACCCTTTTCTAAAGTCCCAACCCTTCCCTCTCCATTTTTTCAAATATTTGAATTTTTTTTTGTTTGTTTCAAACTCTAGTTAAAAATATTTGTAATTATCTTTTTTTGTGTTGTTGTTGTTTTTCTTTTGTAGGAGGGGGTAGAGAGCTGAAAGGGATAACTTACTCAAAACTGGTAAGTACTTCTTCCCAAGGCTAAAATGGCTTACCTTAGAATAGATGATATGAAGAGCTGGCATCCATTCCTGGAAACGTTTGAAGGTTACTGAAACTGAAATTCTATCTATTCTTATATTCAGGAATTAAGTCTTAGAAAGTAAATGTTGCTGATGGAAGCCCCAGTCTTATAAATAAAATCTCTGTAAGGCTGAGATTTGGGCCTAAGGGTCTGTAAATATAATAGACAGTTAAATTCATCTACTCAAAAATAATATTTTTTTTCTGTGTAATGTGAAAACCAAATTTATTTGAAGGGATTTTTAGCCCAGAAAGACTTCTCTCTAAAATTCTGAGTTATTCAGAGTCCTTCCATACACACAGAAGGCATTCATGGCTTTGTGTGTGTCCTACCTTTGTTTATATAAATATATATGCCTTGTCAGTTGTGTGTCTAGTGTAGCTTCCAAAATAGTCATGGTTGAAATAGTATTGTGATATTTTAAAGGTTCCCATGTAGATTGTATTTTATTGAGATAACAGAACTGTGAATCACTTATGTGATTATTGTAGAGTTTAAGGTTTCATTCAGTCTTTGAATATTTAAATAGTCTATATGCAGTGCATTGGGGCACTTAGCTCAGAATGAAATTTTAAGTCTTGAAGCAACCACTTAAGAAATAAGCAATTATTGGTAATAAATGAATGCAAGCAAGAAATTGAATGGAGGATTTCTGCCTCCAATAGTTGAAATCCATCCAAAAATGCCTCATTTACCTCTTGCTCAGTGTTCTTCCTGGTTGAGACTTGGAAAAAGTATGTCTGGATGTACAGGAGATGCATGTACTCCTGAATCCTGTGCCTTCCTTTTGGAAATCACCAGTTCTGTTATTGAGTAAGGCATTTGCTTGTTTTCCTTTAAAAATAATGAGATTAAGAATTTTTTCAGGCCAAGACATTAATGCAATTTCAGTCATCTACAAGCTTTTTATTTGAAATAATTCCACTACCATAAGAGTAAATTGGAAAATGCATCATATTCTATGATTAATTCAGAGATGGTTTTACACCTCTTTGAATGTGGTATTATAGATAGTTTGTAACGCTACTGAACTTAAATTTTTCGATCTTCCCTTTAAGTTCAGTCTAAAAGAAGAAAAGTTCAAAAATAGTGAAAGTTTTTGCACTACAAAATGTATAGCCACTTATGCAGTTTTTTACCTCCTCTCAAAGGAAGTGTGAGCAATATTTAACCAGATGCCTTGATAGATATTTATAGACATTATTCTGTGTAAATCGGAAAAACGCAGTTTAGGTTTTGTTGGATGTAAGGAATGTTTGGGGGTTTTTTGGTTTTTATTTTTCATTCTTTTTTGTTTTTTTAACTGTATTGGTTATGTAAAAGGTACTTTGGGGGAGTTCTAGACAGGGATAACAGAATACTTATTCCTGCTTGGGAAGGGAAGCTACAAGTGTGTGTTCTCGAAAGGAACAATTGTATATATTTCATATTCAGAATTTGGCAACTTGACCAAACTTAAATGAAATATATTTTTTCATGTTTATACCCCTATAAACATAGTTAGGCTGAGCAGCTACTTTTTTTTCTGCAAGGCAGTGTCACTTTTTCCTTGAACCTCTTAAAAATTAATTTTGAAAAATCTTGCTAGCTGTTCAAGGCATAGATGCAATTAGCTTGGATTCGTTTTTATGAACCATCAATACTGCAATTTCTATCTGTCAAATTAAGTTGCGCATTAATAGAAGTTGCTCAATCTTTATATGTTCTTTTACAGTAATACCATGTCATATTTGCCGTGAACATATTTTGGACCTTACAGTTACATATATTTAAGTGATGGATATTTTTTACATTCTTTTGGATCTCTTTTACATTCAGTTGAGATAACGGTTTTGCTGTTCTGCACTCAAGTTTGAAGTTAGCATGTAGCTACAGAGCAATGCAAACTATTCATCATGTGTGCCTTCTGATTTTTTGAAGAGACACTGAGAAAGAAACTGGCCATATCTGCCTGTCTTTACCCTGAAACTGAATTTCCAAGGGTCAAAAAGACTTACCCTCTGCAGTGGGTTCCAGTTTTCATTAACCAGTCTCCCATGTGGTATTCTGAAGCATGGATTCTTTTGAAACTGCAGTGGTGGGGACTCAAAGCATGCTATAATTGTTCTTGTCAGTGAGTGGAAGTAATAATCCTTGATTCTGTTTTCTCATTACTGTTTGTGGTAATAGGACAGGGAACTATATGTAATTTCCATGTATCCCTTGATACAGATTACAATTTTATAGAGACTAGTGCTGCAAAGGCAGCTGTTTTCACTCATCTGTGTCATATGTGGGAGAGGCCCTTGCAGAAGGTCATTTCATGTGTTGGCTAGAAAGTTTGCTCAGGCTTTTGTTATTTAAATAAGTAACTTTAGGCTAACAGCAGACAACTCTGACAAAGAGTTTAAATGTAATGCTTTTTAACTCCTCTTTATAGTCTACTCTTTTTGTAACATATTTTTGTTTGAAAAGATAAATGATAAATAAACAAAACAAAACACTCACCTTCAACCTTTCTTTTTTTCCAGGAGTTCACAAATATGTCCACTACTTCAGTTTACTGTAGTGAAACAGCATTAAAATAAAATTCTTTAACTTAGGGAATTGCTCTCTTTTTACAGCCTGCATGTCTAATCAAAGCTGTCAGGATCCTTTTGAAAACATTGTAGTCTCATTAGGAAGGCCTCTGAATTGGCAACAACACCTGTGCAATGAATGTGAGCAATTTTCAAATAATAAAAAAATAGGAACTATTTTAACACTGCAGCAATTCCTTAATTGTGGTGTCTGGATGGAAAAGTCACTGGTAAAATTGCTATATAATGTTTTCCAGTGACTTGCATGTGTTTGCATTTATAGATGTTTTTATACAGGTTCCACTATGATTTGAGCATATGGGAATCTTAATCCTGTTTCAGAAGCTGATACTTTTAACATATTTCTGAAAAAAGATGTTCTCTTGTCAAGCATTCAGGGCTTTTAGAAGTACGTTTGATAATGCTTTTCTGTATCAGAGATTGGGGGGATTAATTTGTTTGTAGTACAAGTGAAGATGCTAAACTTTATACTTATGATCTACAAGTAGATTTCCAAGATTAAAAAGATTATAAAATTAATCTTTTTGAAATGTCTTGTGCTGCTTAATATCACTCTTCTGTTGCTTCAGAACAGATTCCAACTGAAATTACTAACTTGGCACAAACTTTAGGCAGTGAGTTATTAATATATTAATGTTGTTCTGTTAACATGCACACTGTCCCATCTAAGAACAGCTCTATAGTATCACGAAAGTGTGTTCATGTAGTACATTAATGTTTAACTATTTATTGTTGTTGTAGAATTCTATTCTCCAGAATAAGTTTTCATCTACATAGATTTTTAATACATTCTCAGTAGTTAAATTTGCTAATTTAATATGTCACTGCAGTATGATATTGGTAGGAAATAGCTGCCTGCAAACTAAGATAAGGGATAAGTATGTCAACTTCGGGATATGTGGGAAGTAACAAAATTGGCTAAATGACTCCAAGGCAGGCATTTTGTAGAGCCTGCAGATTTCTTGTGTTCAAAATACTGACTGTATTTAGGCTAGAAAGCTGCATTTGAATATAGTTCTCTTTTGAATTCCTGTTGTGTTATAATCTTCTTTTTCAAATGGACTCTTCTCCTTCACTAACCAAAACAAAACCTTTATTTTTCTATAGGACTGGTGTTAAAGAGGAAACCAGAAACTAAAGGCACTGGAATCAGCAAAGACACTTCTAGAGAAAGTGGAGAAGGTAGAGAATGGAGCTGCAGACTCTACAGGAGGCTCTGAAAGTGGAAATTCAGGTTCACCAGGTAGTTTATGTACTTTCTTGCTTTAAAGCAATAGCAGCATTAGTACTTCTGACAGTATTACTACTAATGGGAGCATTAAGCAATAGCACTACAACTATAGTAATAATTGTTTTATAAGCTTGAAACTACTTCAGAATTTTATACTCTGCAATTTGACCTGACCACCTGTTGTTTTTTAGCACATGTGAAAAATCTACATATCAAACTGTGGGTGGTGATTTTTTTTTTTTTAGTATTTTGTAGCAGTAATAGAAACATTCTGAAAACAGTGTTCAGCTGCCTCTGTCTGGAAGGTTTTTCTGATGTTCTGAAGCCAGCTTCAGTATTCAGTTGGCAATGGAGGAATATGGTGGAGGAACTTGGAAGTGAAAGGTATATAGTGCTGCATAGTTTAATCTGGTGCTTCTCTTATGGAATGTCTTCTACTTCAGTACCTTCTAAACTATATTTTTGATAACCAAAATGTTGTAGTGCTTGGGCTTTGTAAATTTTTACATGTTGGGTCTTCTTACTTTAACGTGTTCAATACTATATGGCAGTAGGATTGCAGTTTGCCATTGTTTTACAATGCCAATGAGGTATTACTACAAGTAATGATACTAAAACCTAATGTAGTAAATATAGGAGGACATATGCATATTAATTCTTGGAAGAAAATTGTTACAGCCATAGACGCAGACTAGCTGCAAACTTGAAATGTTAAATTTAACAATGAGACCTTTTCTAAACATAGTTCTCCAAGTATATCTGATGCTCTTCAGATATCTGAAACTCACAACTGTTACACAGTGGATAAAAGAAGTATATGATAAGTAACATTGATCAATATAGTCCATCATATGAAATTTGGAGAATGTTTCAAAATTGCTTGGTGACTTGTCTAAAATGTGATCTGAATGTCTTGTCCAGTACTTGCAGCAATGCTGCACATATTGCAAGGACTTGAATGGGTGAAATGGTAAAATCAAGCTATGTCTGCTTTAACAAAATACAATTTACAGTCAGGGAGCAAAACCTGAGAAAGCTAAGGGTGGATTTCCAGAACTATGGATGAGTATTTTGCTCTCCTCAGTAACTCCAAGGCCTTTGTAGTTGAAACTTCAAGGACATTTTGTTGTGGAGGTAAGGAAGTTCAAAAATTACCCATGACATTTTGCTGCAGACATAGGAATGTTTAAGGCCAGTAAGTAATTTTTTCAAGTATTAACTACTGTAAAGCAATCAAAATGTTAATAATTATGCTCGTGTTTGTATGATACTACTCCTTGTGTGCATCTTCATTCCCCTTTATGCCCAAGTGAACCAAAAATTTTAAGACTGTGAATTTTGAATAACCTTTAGTATCTGTTCATAATGATACTGATGAACAGAGATGAAGACTGAGAAATGTCCAAAGGGACCTTTAATAAGCAGCTTAAAGTTGGTGGGGTTTTTGACTTTCTTTGCTTTAACTTTTCCCAATTGCCATTAAAAGTGAGCTTTGCACAAAAATCAGCTTTAATTAGATTTGGTTTTAGTTTGTGAAACTAGAAAAGCCATGATATCAGAAGGTTGTCTTTTTTAATTCAAGATGCTGTATATTTCTATAATTAAGGCTAAGAAAAAGTCTATATGTTTACAGTGGAAAATAACGCAACAAAATGTTGGGTGCTTCAGTAAAGGTTTTGTGAACTATGCTTGCATGGTTATTGCTTGTCAGCATGCACACTGATAAACATTAAACTGGTTTTGTCACTAAAAAAAATCTTCAAGCGAAATGCTTGAACTTTCTCATATAGCTCTGAATTTTGTAACCTAAAGAGATATAATATGCTCCTACTTTTCATTCAGGATTTATGAAGAATTGTCTCTTGTCATCTTTTACTTCTCTAATATTTTTTTTTCTGAGGACTTTATAACAAAGCTTGCCAACACTCACACAGTCATGGTTTGCTGTCCTGTTGGAAGTGGTGGACAGGTGTCTGTGATGAGCATAAGGAATTCAGCTCAGCTCTGTAGCCAAACTCTCCTAACTTCTTGATGCAGCATGTTGCCTGTGACTGCTCACATGGCTGTACAAGTGATGCTCAGTAGGATGTGGTTTTGTTTGTAGAATAGCTCCTTGGGTTTTGCCTCTTTTGTTTCACTTGCAGAACTCTATGTGAAGCTTTCATAATGCTGCTTTGGCAAAGTATATCTAAAACTACCAGTAAGAACCCCAAAAAGCTGTTTAATTGTTCAGAAAAAGCTACTTTTTTGTCTGCTTTCTATGATCAGAGAATCCACCATGAATGACACCTGACCAGATCATATCTATATTAGTGTACAACTTGAATATTCTAATGTCTTCCATGTCAAAGCTATATTGCTTGTCCTGAGAAGAGATGCATCTAAGTAATTCATTCTGCTGCTGTGTTGACTTAATTAAGATAAATTTGAAGCAGTCTACTCTTCCTAGTTTTGATCACAAGAGGGGTTAAAGGACTTATATTTAGGTATTCTTACAGAAAGGTTGAGTTTCATGGATGATTCCTCAAGCTGATGTGTAGAAGGAACCATAAGCATCCTTGCCCTTTTCTTATTTCATGGCAGAAAGATTAGTGACTTTTAAAATACCTTAAATTTAGCTTATGTTTAAGAGGAATATTTTTTTTCCTTAGAATTGCCTGACGTAGTACTGTGTGATCCAAAAATTTAGCACTATTTTATGAAGAGTTTACAGTACTGACTATATTGTCTTATGACTGCATCTGCAGGAGCATTTTATATAAAAACTAGCAGATTTGTTGCTTGTCAAGCTCCAATGTGGCAGGAAGCACCGAGGAAAAATAAGCTAAGTCTGTTCCTGTGATGCTGATGGCAGTATGACGAAACAATAGCATTCAGTGTAGATAAATGCCAAGTGAGGCACTTTGGAAAAACAGGCCCAGTTTTACATCTGCAATAGCAGGCTGTGAACTGGCCGTTGGCACCATGGAAGGAGTTTTTGCAGTACAGAGTACCTGAGTATTGCACGTAGTTTTAAACTTTGTCTCCAGATGATAGAGACAAACTAGAGAATTATGGAAGAGTGCCAAGAGTGAACAAAGCAATGGAATGATTTGTGCATGAGGAGTTCTTCAATTTGAAGAGGTGAAGACTGGTGGGGGAATATGTGGTGTGGAAAAAATATAAGAAGGAGCTCCATAGAGAAGCAGCTATAGAATCATACAGTGTCTTAAGTTGGAAGGAATCTGTAAGGATCATCAAGTCCAGGTTCCAACTCCTCTTGACTCAAGTCAGCTCTGGTTTTCTGTAATCGTATTAGTCCTTCATGCTTGCATTGTAAGGAAACAGATTCAAAAGAAAAAGGAGGTCATCCTTTTACATAAGAATCCTGTAATTTAATTTATGGTCAAAGAATCTAGAATGGTTTCCTGGTTCAAAAAGTAATTAAAGCAGAACAGTGAAAGAAATGTGTGTTAGTAGCTACTAAACCTAAGACATAATCTTTGAAAACATTAGAGAAATAAATGTCTACAAATTTACTTAAAAATATATTAGGAGTGTTTGGTTTACATTGTGTCTTCATTCTGGGCTCTGGTCTTCTTTGGTAACTTTTTCCTTGCTTAGCAATAGGCAGCATTCTCCTGCAGCTGCCTGAAGGAAGAGAGAGAGGAAGAATAGTGAATGGTAACAATCTGTCTGTTTTCCTTTGGATGTGGAGGGCATCTCTTCTACAATGATCTCAATCTCCTCTGAGGGAGAAAAGTGGCAAAGATGCTTCTGAACATGGGTCTTCCATCTGGTACCAGCCAAGTTAACACACAGGAAGAGCTTTAGTACTTGAAATATTCTGCCCTTGAATATACAAACAGCTTTTGTGCCTGCAGCAGTTATCTGTGGTTTGTGTTTCTTGTGACTGCAAGCAAAGAAGCCAGCAGTTCTAGAGGAGACACAGCTATTAGATTATCTTACCCAGCTGGCTTAAATTGTCTTTAAAAAGCATCACTTGTTTAAGAGCTGTTTAGGAGGAGCAAAAGTGATGGCTTAATACAGTACTTTTACTGTATTAATAAGAATGGGTTTGGAAATGTTATAATACTGGACTCTAGGCTTTGCTATTGAAACTCTGTAAACAAAATATTTTGTTTTTACAAAGGTTCTTAAAAAATACTGAATTTTAAATTGTTCAAAATATTTGTAAGGAAAATCTTCATTGTATTGTTGCATTTTTTTTCTTTCTAGAAATTGGTTGCCCAAATGAAGCAAGATCCACAGGTAACTAATTATTTTTATATTGGATCATTTCCATTAAAATTCAGGAAATAACAGTGCATGAAACTTGATGATTTTAGATATTTCTAGATTACCTTCTTCCTTGCTAACACAGTGTTTAGAAGAAAATTTATTTTTAAGTTTTTGAACAATGGCTGTTGGATTGTTTAAAACAAAACCAAAATTCTTGCTATTATGGAGCTTTTTACCTTATACACATTCTTAATAGTTTAAATCAAGTGACTTTTCTGGGCTATGGTGCAGTTCAGATGAGCAGTAAGTTTCTGATTCTATTGGAAGCTGCTCTCTATAAAAGCTGCCATTATTTGTAATAACTTTTTTCATTTTTGGAGTATCAGAAGGTACACAGTACAAGAAGAGAGAGGATATTCTGTCCAAGAAATTTTGTCCAAACAATATAGCTTAAGGTTGTGTTCAGATTGCCTGTCTTGGGTGTCTTACCAGCCCTGTAGTGTCCATAGAACAGACACTTGGTCTTGGGAAGTTTCAGAGCTTCTGAAGTTGGATAACTGGACTCCCTGCATAGACAGCAGAAGTCATCCCTTTCTCAAAGACTGCGTAAGGTCCCTGGGTTTTCTTGTACAGCAGTTAAACACTCCTGGATGCTGGATGGGGAGTGCTCTGGAGCTCTCAAACCAGTCTGAAATGCTGAGTAGAGGGATAAAGGCCGCTCACTTGAGGCTTGCAGAGGCTTGAGGCTTAAGACCTCCCATCCCCATACAATATAGTAAATGTCCTGTAATTTTCTGAATGTACATTTTTTTTCCAAGCTCAGTGAAGTGAGAAGACAGCTTTTAATAGCACTCAGGTAGTTAAACCTCTGGCAGGGAGGGTTAAGCAGGGTGTATTGGAAAATCTGGTTTTTTGAATGTTGTTATTCTGATGGGATTTGGGTAAGATCTGCTCAAATTCACTGGTCCGGTCTGCTAACAATTAGTCTGCAGAGCAGTTTGCTTTCAGTTCATACTTGCTGAAAGTGAAGTCATGCTGCAAGAAGCCATGCAGAGTTCCTAGAGTCAGGAAAAGTAAATGTGGTCCCTGTTTCCAATGTTCTTAATGCATTTTTTATCCCAGATTATTAAGTAGAATCTAGAACTAGGGAGGATGACTGGTCAATATCTGGTTTTGCTGGAATCAGAGACTATCTATGAGCTAAGATCAAAATACATTTCAAAACTGGAGGAATATAAAAATAGGGGATATGCATGAGGTTCCTGTGATGATGTTAGTCTTGTGTTTTAATGTTTCTGCCTAGCAGACTAAACCTGCATAATCTAGTATGAAAACTATACAACATAATTGAGAACAAAAAAAGTGAGAATGTACAAAAATTAAGGAAAACCTGATTCCCTGTCACATTTCTGCAGAGCTTCACAGGTTTTCAACTAAGGACAGACGTTTCTTTAATTTTTTATTTCAGTAGAAAAGAAAAAGTCCTGGTAAAAATTGTTTTTTGTCTGCATCTTTCTAGTGTTGCTTATGGCTTTAAAATCTGAAACTTCGAAAAGTGCTAGTGTAAGCAAAATGCTAATATGAATGATGTGTCCAGACAAATGTAATTCTCTTTAGCACACTCTAAGGCATAAGCATACATGGTAATAAGGACTTAAGTATGTTTGCCTTCAATTGATATATGTGTCAATTCAGATTTAGTACATATGTTTATATTCTACATAGTTAAGTGTGAATGTCTTTGCATAAGTAGCATAGGTGAGAATGTTTTAGATAACATATCATAGAGTACTGTTGTATACAGTATGATACTGTTGTATTACATATTAACAAACATTTATTGTTTAATTTGTAAACTTGATGAAATGTATAAATGTGCTTTATAATGTGATAAGCACTAATGGATGTTTTAATGAAATCTTCTCTCCAAACCGGGCTATCTCTCTGAGTGCTAGAAAGGTCCTCTGATTATTGTTGCACTCAGCGATTTAAATAAGGCTTTGTTGAGCCGTTTGAATTTTATTGGCTGTACATCCAGAGGTGCTGTATTTGTAGTACACTATGCAAGAAGAAAACAAACAAACAAAAAAACCCACCTTCCTACTACTACTCTTTGTTAACAAATGGAATATCTTTCTCACAGATATTTTTTCTTTCTAATCAGAACGCTGATTTGAAGAAACAACTTCATGAACTTCAAGCCAAAATCACAGCTCTGAGTGAGAAACAGGTAGGGAAACAGAGATGTATTTTTAACACTGTGTTCTAGAGATGTCTCTTTTCCCAGCTTCCAAGAGAGCTGCTAAATCTTAAAGTGCAAAAATAAGCGTGGGCAACCAGACATTTTTGATTTTTATTTGATTTCTCAACAAAGGATAGAATGAGTTATTGTGAGTCTGTCAAACAAGAAACTAGTTTAATCAGTGGAAGTTATAGCAATTTTTCTTATGTTGAAACTAACATTTTATATTAAGGGAGATGGAAAAATGGATTAATTTTGTCATTTTCTTTATTATTATCTTGAAACTTCTAAACTCGACCATTCTGGTTTAGGCAAATCTTTAGATTTTGACTTAGTAAGTCCACACTGTGTATATGGGTGAGTATGCTGGAATTTTTCTTAATGTCAAGACCAGCTAAATGTATGTCAGTTATGGGTACTTAATAGACAATTTGAAAATTAATTGGATGCTTTTACCATGATAAATTATACCACAATTGTCTTATGCTTGCCATTTGGTAGAATTCTGTTTGACAGCTCTGAAGTATGAGTAATAATTACAACTGAATGCTTAACAGAAAGATTGTTGAACTTGAACATGGGCCTTGTGAATAACAAGAAGAAAAAGACGTAATATTGAGATATCTACAGAATTTGTTCTCACTTTTTTTTTAAAACATGAAAGAGCAACACATGCACAAAGCCATCATCCCATTCCAAGTAAACTGACTTAAGCAGTCCCTTAATTATGTTGCTTAATATGTCAATAATGGAACCAAATTAGATCAATAGATTAGACCTTTGAAGAGAGAAAAATGTTAGAGCATTGGTGAAATGCATGAGTGTCACAACTAGATACCTCCACTTGTCTGCTACTAGCTGCATGTGTTCTGTTTTGAGTATTACTATCCCTACAAAAATAGCCAGACAGTGATTTACATTTATCTAGAAATTTTGTTTACTGAAAAAAATATAGTATGTTTTAATAGAGGAACAGTGAATCTAGGACGAAACATGTAAGGATAATAAGGAAAATGATTTTTAATGAGAATAGTAGTTCAACAAAAACTGAAGTTTTGCTGATGTGATAGCATGTCTCTCTTGAAGATGATTTATTCTCTAAAACCAGCATGAGCCTCTGCATGTGGCTATGTCTCACAGCAAGCTGTTTCAGGATTCTCTGGTAAGCTCTGGATGCCCGTGGTAGTTTCAAAATGAGCTTGTCTTGATGCCATGAAGCAAGCTGTATTAACTACCAGTTCGTGTAATGAGCACGGACAGGCAGGGAGACACTGAGTGGAATGTGAGAAAGCATCCTACCATAACTTTTAAACTTGTATTTATAACTCTGTCAAGTTAAGCTGCAGAATGGTCTATACTAACATGTGTTTTAAATTACCCATCACTAGAAATGGAGCTATATTTTTTCTATTTAACTCAAAGTGCTAAAGTACACTTGTTCATGGGGTTACCATGGGTTAAGTTTCCAAAAGACGTTGAAAAATAAGTTTGAGTTTTCTTCTACCACACAGTGAATACAGTCTGTATGAAGTCACAGTAGTTTCCTTCTTTGTATTTTTGTGGGTTTGATTATCAGAACAACAGTGAACTTCTCCATGATTGTTGAAATTTATATATTTTGTTATTTCTACTACTGGACTGCAGAGCTGCCAGTGTTCTAGATGATAATGTTGTTAAAGTAGTATGCCTGCTTAAATGCAATCGTCATGGTAAATATAAATTCTGGGAAAAGAATCAGAACTTCCCTGTGCAGAGAAGTGCTCACTCCCTCTTTATTTGCAGGAATCTGTTGTATAGAAATCTGTGGCTTAGCAATGCAGCACCTTAGGGACTGCAACAAAGCCATTCTTCTGTTTTCACTTTCACTTCTTTTCAGGAAAAATCATTATTATCAATTGCTTTATGGGTAGAATATTAATCAGCAATTTAATTTTCACACAGCATGGAGAAATATGCAGTTTTGCACAGTAAATATAATGGTTTACATTGTGCAGTGCTTGTGTTAAGAAGGAGTGCAACATGTGTAATCTGTACTCTTGTTTAGAGCCAAGTAGTCAATGAGTAAACTCTGAGGGCCCAACTCCACTGTGGACAGTTATAGGATGCATAATGGTCACTGTTCAATAAGCTTTTAATGAAGTTTGAGAAACTGAAGTTCCAGCCTGTGTGGTGTCCCTACCTGGACACATGGAGCTGCGATGCTGGTGTTAGAGAGGCAGAATAATGAAATATTTTTGGCTTGTGGAATGTTATGTCACCCTAATGCACACTTTTTCTTTGCTCTCTTATTTAATGAAGTTGGATGAAGACTTGTGCAAGAACCAAGTCAGCGGTAGGTTTAGCTAAAAGCTTTTAGTTGCTTTAGGACTTCCCTCTGTTTGTGAAGCATTGTGGGAATAGTGCCGACACTTGCTGCCAGTCGCCGCAGTGATTCACAGTGGCTTAGGTGTCTTGCTGAGAATTAATAATGACAGTTCTGTTCAGAAGTTTGTGAAATTGAGGAGATCCGGCAAATTACAAAAAGAAAGCAAGTAGGCTGTGCAGTGTGTAGGCTTAAAGCTGAAAAAAATTCCAAGCTGATGCAGGGTTGAACTGTTACAGCATAAGGTATGTCATATATTCATAAGTTTTTTGAAAATGTCAGAGGTGAAAATAATGGCTTTGATTTGTTATACCTGAGAGACAATGGAGCAATGTATGCTGAGTGTGTTAACACCTGAAAGGAAAACTGCAAAAAGAGAAAAATCTTACTTGAAGATAGCTTGCATTTAGAGGGCTGTGAGCTTCAATCCTTCAGACTAGTAGATTTCCCTCTGCTAGTCTCTTTGTATTATTTTCACAGAGTTGTAAACTATGCTTACTTTTCTAATCTGTGGGCAATAAGTGAAATTCAGCTTAATAGTCTTGCTCCTCAGCTATAAATGGGAGAGCTGCAGTCTGGAAACTCTGAATGCATTGGTTTTGTAAATGGTTTCCTCTTTCTTTCTCTGACCCCCCTCTTCAGTAAACAGAAGTCAAGAGTAAGTTTTTTCAGAGCAGTTGTAATTGCCAAATCTAAGGTTGGGTTGTAAATGTGAATTAATTCTGTTGTTTTGGAGCACCATTTTTTAGTATGTTTTCACATCTTTGGAAGAAATTCATGATCAAAGTCAACCATTTTCCTTTACTTTTTATTCTACAATAGTATCTTCTCTTGGCATTCTGATTTGTAGAATTTTACTCACAATTACTTCACACTACTCAGCTTTTGTCTGGGTGAAATACACTTTTTGCAATGTAAAAACTTAAAGAATGTATTTTTAAAAATTTTCTGTGAGGAAGTTTTTATTGTATACTTCTTTTTTGTTTGTTTTGGGGAGATGGGGTGGAAATTGTTACCAGTGACACTGTTGAAAGGCTGAGGTAGAGCAGAGCTAGCATAAAGGAGGAAGGGATGTAATCTTGAAGTAGTACCTTTTCTTCGGTCTCATTTCCTCCACAGTTAATCTAAAAATAAAGAATATGCAGTTACAGATATATCATGACTGAGTATGTATCATAATAGTACTTAATTTTGAAGACAAGGAAGAGGTCATGTGGGCAGTAAAAAGATGTAGGCTTTTTTAGCAATATTGTGTCAGATATAGAGGAATTTCTAAACGTGTCCTTATCATAATCTCCTGGAAAAGTTAGAACAATATTCTGTCTTAAATGTGAAAGAAAGCTTACAAAAAGGGTCTTTTGACTCTATGATGAAAGGGTGATGGTGGTAAGCACGTACAAAAGAAATCACACGTCTCTTTCGCTTATATTTGAGAATAAAATGCAAATGTCTCTTCCTGTAGTTGCAGTGAAATTCATTGACTCTCTAAGCAAAGTGTTGTGGAAACTAGACTTGTATTCCAATGTATTTCCTCTTGACGTTGAAATAATAAAGTGAATCCCTTTGTTATTTTGATTTCTGTATATATGCAAGAAAAAGTAATCAAAAATAGTTATCAGCATATATATGGAGATACTTGTGGTTTTATTTTTTCACAGGGGAAAAACTTTAACATACTTTATTGTGAAGAGCAGTTGAAACTGTGGAATATAATTTAAAAAAATGCATACCATAAAAGCAAGTTTAATATTATGAATAGGCAAATCTAGGGAATTTTCCCTGTATTTAAAGCTTACAGCAAATTGAGATGGATGAGTTTATTTTAAGTCCTGTATGTTCAGGGTAAGACTCCTTTTAACCTCGCCACAAAATAGCAAGTAATGAGAAAGGGTATTTGGGATAGATATAAAAAATGACAGAGTAATTTAACCATGGTTTTGTATAGTTAAATAAATGTAAACATGTGGTTTAGATTGACAAAGGAAGCTTGTTATTTAACTTTCCAAAAACTGTCAGGAATAGCTTTTAAGCATTACTGTTGCTATATTTATTACAGGTACCATAACTTAGTAATGAAAAGATTGGTAGTGTGCATAAATTCATCCTATGAGACTGTTCTTCTTGAACAGGTGTCAATCATAGTAAAGGAGAATTTTTATGGAGGCTTTTTGAGCACATTATCAGAAAATTGTTCCCGAAACATGTTCCATCATGTTCTGTAAAGAGAAGCAGCAGTGTTTGGTGAGAGGAATGTAAGCTCAAGAAAGCTAGAGAGCAGGAGGGAAACTGGGTACAGTTAACAGGTAGGAAAGAGCACTTCATGCTTGTGCATAAGAAGGTAGGCAAGCTATGCCTGTGTGTTGTGAATATACCAGATGAACACCATCACAACTTAGGACTAAAAACCTCGAAATGAATTTAAAAAGTCACTACTTCTGCCAGTTTTGTCTGGAGTTTCTGATACTTCCTTTTTCCACAATTGAGCAAGGGCATATTTAAATGGCAGTTATTCTGTCAGTAATGGATCAGTCTGCAAATACGCCATATGAGCATTTAATTACTAATAGCTTGAGGCAGGTGATGCCTAATTTCAGTTCCAGTTGTTTATCTGGAACTGTACATATAA